CGTGTGTGGAAAGTGAAAACACGGCGGCGAGTCACGAGTAGAATGTTGCGTTGGCACGGTGCCCAGCTTCAGACATCAGTGGGGAAGTTTGTTTTGTTTCGTTTGACGAGTCAAGAAGTATCTTGAGCACAGGTGCACCGATTGCGTCCAGCTTCTCGATCGACTCGCCACGACAAAGATCAGAGGGAGCAATTAGGCCGTGCGGGAGGCCCCCGGTGAGGTGAAGCGGTGAGGCCGCAGAGAGGGCCTCTACCCATGTTTGGTGTTGCAAGGGCACTCATTGATAACAGTGGAGCTTGACGCCGAAGCACGTGCTCAAGTTAAATATCAAAGTGAACTTGCTTTTAAGCGCCACTGTTTTAACCCTAATTAAAGTGTCCCAATCACATGGCTATAGTTACGGTAAAATTGCACAGGAAATAAAGTTATAAAGGGTAAATGTGAAGGTTACATGCATTTTGCTGTGGTGGGTGACGGTATCATTTGATGTACGGTATTTCCAAACCCTTGTCGAGAATGGTTTGCAGAAGGGGGTGGCTTACGGGCATACATATCCGGATTGAAAACCGGACCAAAGCTCTCTGGCCATTCACTCAGATTGATTTTAACTGCGCAGCGTGAAAATGAAGTGACTGTGTGGCTTAGGGGATTATGGCTATAATCGTGTGTAGATTTCACGCCGACGAGACTCGTGGTTTGATTATTTTCTCTCTCATTTTATATGGACTGAGACTTTTGTGCAAGCAAGTTCGGTTTCCTTAGCTTGTTCACCGGTGAACACACTGTTCAATACATTTAGTTTGGTGACGTATTTCGTTTCGCCTGTCTCTGAACACGTTATACGTATATCACATTGTATCCCTTTGAAGTCGGCAACAAAAGCACCAATGTGGGAAATGTATGTACGTTGAACTTCGTACGTAGTCAACCGTGCTAATCGGACGTGACTGGCTCCGTCAGAGGAATGTGCAATTTCCACCATATGGCTAAGGAGTTCTGGCAGAGATGAACACTGCCCCATACTCGTTTGTGCATGGGGACACTGATCTTATTTTTACACAGCATTTAGGGAGTCATTCCATGGCTGAGGTGAAGAAGGCCTCTAGGGAGGTAATGCCTGAAGTCTCTCCCGAGATCACTCCAAACGCGATTTCAGGCTCTGCCATCTCTCTCTCGAGAGAGAGTTCCAGATAATACATTTTGTTTTGTGGACCAAAGCCAATGATACAATAGGCATGGAATTGGTTGTAAAATACTAAAATAAAATAAAAACACGTCGAAAAAGCAATACTGTGTGAAAGGTTCAAGACACTAAAGTGGTATTTTATGTTCTTGAGGGAGTAAAGTGGCAGTTGTTTTAACGTTTGCTGGGCATTCTTGTCTCTGGAATGTGTAAATATCCAAGGAGGCTAAGTCATCATTGATATCTTCTTCCTCGTTTTCCATTTCTATAATTTAAATATTGACATTCCAGTTAAGAATGTCCTATGTCAACGTTTCAAACCGCAGAACAACGACACTGCAAAGTCTGGGCATTAACAGTGCCCAATGCCATGAAATTGTGTCTATCATGTGTAGCTGGGAGATTTTTTTTTAGGGTCACCCACTTGAGGCTGAGAGACAAACCAGACGGTTCAATGGGCTCTTTTAAAATGCCGCCACGGTAATTTGAAGCACACACGCGCCTTACTTCCCTCCCTCCCTGGAGTGTTGTGAGCCCACCGCGGATAGGGTTGGGACGACGACGAGAAAGGAGAGCTGCGGCCTGAGTCGAAGACGGTTGTTGTTGGTTTTTTTTAACGACTGGGCTGCCCTGTTTGTCTTGTAATGCTAACTTTAGGATCTGAGCGCACACTTCTAAAGATGACGACGACATTCTTCAGGGAGGTCTGCAGAAGTTGCGCAGTTGCCCTTTAAAATCGGCACCCATTCGTTGGTGCCCCCCCCCCCGCCCCCCAATCAGTTGCTCGCTCGAATGTCAGATGGATCACGTTGTGCGCTGTCGTTCAAATTATTATTTAATTCCTTCATGGGTTTTTAATGCATGTTTCCTCATGGAAAAGCTAAAATTCAGCACACAACACATATCCGAGGTCAGCTTGGATTTAAATAACGTATCATCAATCAGTTGTGATGATAAAAAAAACTATTGGCCACAAGTTGCCCGTGTATTCCTTCCGCTTGGCTTTTGTATGTTCACTTTTACCACTTGGATCCCTAACGTGTAGTTTGACTCTAGGCAAAGGTTGAAGCGATTTCAATCCAAGAACCATCTGCTGCAGCATTTACAGTCCACACTGGGGAACAAGGAAGACATGCCATCGTAGGACTTTGCTTCACAACCATCTTACCCGTGCCCCTCTCTCCCTCTGTGTCTGGCTTTCAAATAAACCCCACAACCTAGACTCAACCAAATACAGAGTAAAACCCGACATTTTAGTATCCTTTCATATTCCTTGGTTGAAAGTTACAATTTAATAACGTTACGAAACGCTGTAATAAACATACGTCAAAGCGGTTTACCGCTCAAAGAGAATGTGGGGCAGGACCCATCTGTTTAAGCAGAAGTGGATATTCCACATTCACGTGGCAGGTTGATTCTATTCGTAAGCCAGCGTTCATGTGGCGCCGCAGTGGCAAGATGTTACTCGGTATGCAGGAGGTCGTGGTTTCGATCTCGACCCGGATGCCTGGATATTTGGAGTTTGCACGATCTCCCCGTAGTTGCGTGGATTTTTCTCCGGGTCCTCCGGTTTTTCCCTCCACATTTAGAAACACGCGTTTAGAGTATTTGTCTGCTATAAACTTCCACGTGATAAGCCACTTCATTGAGCTATCAACTGTGGCCAAGTTGCTTCTGCAAAACAGCGATATAGCTCAATGCGCTTTACCTGATAACATTTAAAATAATAGTTTAGTTTATAGTTTCAAAGTGTTACTCATTGTATTGACCCCCAGAGGAATAAAAGGTCAGGTCAGCCCCCGATCCGGGTTTACCTCGCGACCTTCTGACTGCGAACTGCGAGCTCGAACCGTGTGGCCGCCAGAAAAACGAGACGCCACACGTGTCACGCGTCACGTGGCCACCCTCGGCTTGAATCTGGGATCTCGACAGCGTTGGCTTCTGACTCGGTCGGGCACTGCCACGACGCCGTGGCGTCCGATGTGGCGTCCGACTCTGTGAAAGACAACAGAAACTTGAATCCAGGCTGGAAACAAATAGGGTTGGTCACATTTTTTTCAACTCTTTGAGCTGGTGGTATTGACACCTACAGGGCCACACACATTTCTGGTCTGGATAGGGCTGAGAGCTTTTGTACATGCAATGCTGCACACCTTTGTGTGAGTGGTATGCAGGTCAGGGGTTCGATCCCGACCCTGATGCCTGTATATTTGGAGTTTGCATGTCTCTCTCTTCCCCGTAGTCCCGTGGATGTTTTTTTCTCCAGGTCCTCTGGTCTTTCCCTCCCCATTTAGAATCAACAAGAATTTAGATTATTTAGATAATTTGGCTGCTATACATTTCCACGTGATAAGCCACTTCGTTGAGCTATCATTTGTGGCCAGGTCGCTTCTGAAAAAGAAACGAACAGCTCAGTGGGCTTTACCTGGTAAAATAAACACACGAATAGATATATTGTCGTAGTGATTTGTTGACGTTTTCTACACTTGGCACGCCTATCGTATTTTCGTATTGTTTGTTGTTGTAACTTTCTGACCCGCCCCGACTGGACATGCGTGACAAAGAGCTGCACAGCTCATCGGATTCCTCCTCCTGCAGCACAAAGAAACATTCCGATGATTCTGTTAAAGCTTGAAGCACGGGCGTGGGACAAGGGTATAGACACCCTGCAGTCCCGGACGTCGGGTAGATTTCACTGGCCGGACGTCGCGTGGACTTTTCACCGGTGGATGTTTTGCCGCACGCGCGTGTGTGTGTGTAGGTGGGTGTGGGTGTGTGTGTAGGTGGGTGTGTGTGTGTAGGTGGGTGTGTGTGTGTAGGTGTGTGTGTGTGTAGGTGGGTGTGTGTGTGTAGGTGGGTAGGTGTGTGTGTAGGTGTGTGTGTGTGTAGGTGGGTGTGTGTGTATAGGTGGGTGTGTGTGTGTGTGTAGGTGGGTGTGTGTGTGTAGGTGTGTGTGTGTGTGTAGGTGGGTAGGTGTGTGTGTAGGTCTGTGTGTGTGTAGGTGGGTGGGTGTGTGTAGGTGTGTGTATGTAGGTGTGTGTGTGCGTAGGTGGGTGTGCATGTGTAGGTGGGTAGGTGTGTGTGTGTAGGTGGGTAGGTGTGTATGTGGGTGTGTGTAGGTGGGTGGGTGTGTGTAGGTGTGTGTGTGTGTAGGTGGGTGTGTGTAGGTGGGTGGGTGTGTGTGTGTGTGTAGGTGGGTGGGTGTGTGTGTGTGTGTGGAGAGCGGTAGTGTAGCGGTTAGCGATTCCCGCTCACAGCCAACACCCAGTGACGATTTTCTCAACCGGTCCAGGGCCTCCCCTAGGTCGACTCAGCCTCACATGAGTACCTGGTGCGGTGTGTAAACATGGCCACTGGAGAGACAAAGGTGGTCGGGCGCGGTGCTGGCCACCCACCCCCTCGTGTACCATTCCGGCCTTCATAAATGCTCGCTAACAGCACTTGCCCCTACAGTCTGTTAAGTCTTTCCGGGGGAATCTTTGTCTCAAATCTTGAAACTCAATTTTAACCCACTTCCCAATGTGGAATCGACTGCAAACTTGGTATACTTATGTCATACTGATGACAATACTATATTATATCATTAAAACATTTTTTATACTATTTTTATATGTTATGTTTCGGCTTGGGTATAATTGCCCACGCTCAACTGACGTTGGCTGTAATTTGCCATGGCCCCTTACGTTATGGAAAGCTTCGGGGCCACTTCCTGGAGTCGTGGAGTTCTCTAATTACTAGTAGGGTACATTTCAATAAAGCGTGTTTAAAAAAAAAGTTTTTTTTAAATGTTACTTATTTTGTCTTTGTGCCCTGCCAGAATTGCAGCTGGGCCGAGTGTGCCCACGTGCGCTGCGACGTGGGCGTTCTGCACAAGGGAGAGAGCGCCGTGCTGAAGGTGCGGGCCCGGCTCTGGGCCGACACCTTCCTCAAGGTGAGCGAGGCCCTCTTGAGGCCACGCGCCGTTCGCGAGAAGCCCCCCGTGGGGGTTTATAGGGCCCCGGTCCATTCCGGTCCGTCCACTGCAAGGGTGGCACAGTCAGGTTTTTTGCAATTGGGTTTAATTGTCTTTTAATATTAAACCCGATCATTTGAGATTGGGAGAAATCCGGTTTAATTGGTTCTAATTGCAGAACCGCACTTCGCCAACTACTCAACGATGGGCTTCATCCATTCCAAGCTAAGGAACTCACTGGCGCCCACGATTGTGGAGAAGCTCGTGTTCATCAAGACCAACCTGCCCGCCGCATTCTATGACTACCCCGTGCCCGATGGTCCCGAGTACGATAGCAGCACCGACGAGGAAGCAGCCTAAGCCTATCAGAGTTTCGTATTCATTAAACCAGGTTTTAATTCCTCGAAATCGGGTTTAATTGTATTAAAGAAAAAACCCGATGCCTGCCCCTGGAAAAATCGGGTTTTTTCCACCCATGTTCCACTGGCCTTCGTCCCTGCCGCATCGGAAAGCTCCAGGCTGCTTAAAGATTGACGTGCGAGCCGAGATGGAGAACAGTTGTATCATGGAAATGTTTACTATTCATCTTTACATTTGTATTGTGCAGGCGTGATATATAACATTTAACAAGTATGTAATTTCACGTCATCGTATGTCTTATCTGGACAGGTGATGCCATGGTTGGATTCTATCAGCATGCCATTATAATTGTTACGCTTGTTTACCAAGCAGACTCACTGATCCTCAACACTCTCGTTCAAGAGGGTCCTGCCCTGCATGCAATGCCAATTGAGTAATTTGCAGGTACTTTCTCAGCATTGGGATGTTTGGCCAATACGAGTTACACTGTGCGTTGTTTGAGCTGATTAAGACTCCGAGTTAAATCCCAGGCAGAATGATCTCAATCTACAATTGAGCCTGGCTTAGCACATATTCACAGCCTGGCTTAAATTCTATTCACCGTGTCATTTAAGATATTCACTGTGTCCCATATTCATTTATTAAACACGTTCAGAAGTTTTATTTCTCGAGTAAAGCCCATTGAGCTAAGAAGGTATTTTTCAAGGCAAATAACATCAAAGCATTCCACGATCACAAAATATCAAAGACGTGTAAATTGCTTTTTTGTTCCCTTTGCGAGTGTGATACGATTTTTATAGCGAGCTGTAAGTCCACGTGCAATTCTAAAATTAGAATAAATGGCACTCGTTTGAATCTAAAAGTGAATTGGAAACATGGCAACCGTCAGCGTTATCTGAATGCAAGTTCTGTTATGGAACTCGAGCGCCGCCTGCTGGACAAGACAACAAACGGCAGCCTCCGCCACAAGGGGCTCCCAGACGGTTCAGTGTGGCCGGAATGCACAATGCAGCACAGCAGAATGTGTTTATTTTAACGACAGAGCCTACATGGTCACTGATTGGTCTGAGTGAGATGCCAGTCGGCATGTGCTGGTGATGCTCGTGCTTATGAGACGTGACTTATCCACTGCTGGATGAAGACTGTCCCTAGGTTGTCTCAATACCTCATCGTCTGGCAATGCAACGATCCACACACGAGCTGATCTCGCGGCTCGTCTCGATGGCGGTCATCTTCTTTGGGCATGTTCTCTTCATTGGTAGCCATTCCGTCACAAGTCTCATCCCCATTGGCCAGCTTCCCTTCTACCGATGGGCCCTACCCAGTGCCGGATTGTCCTCGTAGCAAAAGTAGCTACATATGTCATGGCTACGGGCCCCGCACTTTCAAGAGCCCCACGCTAAATGCTTTCAAGCTATCAATTCCGGTTCAGTGATTCTGCACTAGCTTTATTACTATAGAATTATACCACCTTCAACTTTTATGAACGACTGGGTGTTTAAGGTTAGTGATTTGTCGTATTATCTGACTCATAGCAAATGAAAAAATACAATTACTTTACTATGCAAGTCAAAAATTAGTGTAAATATTAATGTTTTTTTTTAATTTAGGGCCCCTTTATAACATATGCTACAGGCCCCACACTAGCTTAATCCGGGACTGGCCCAACCAATTGGTTGGCAATCCTGGGATGGCTCAGAAAATTCGATGTAGAGTTGCATGGCCATTCTGGAATTATTGATTAATTTTAAGGCAAATTCGATGTAGAGTTGCATGGCCATTATGGAATTATTGATTAATTTTAAGACAATTCAGGAATATTTTGAGTGTAGATTATTTTGGTTGACAATCCTTGACTTACCTATCATATCAATTATCAATGTATATATGATGAATCTTCTTCGTGATTCATAATTAAATTACTCCCCGAGTGCATGTGCTGTAGTAATACTAACGCGCAACTATGAAAAATAAACTAAATTATATCTTCTGTGAATTAAATCCCCAAGCACTTTTGATGAAAAATCATATCAAACGTTACCATTTCAGCTCACCATTTTAGCTCAACAATTGTGAAGCACGTGGACCCGCTTTTACAATCACATTGAACAGCGTTGTCATGTTAAGTTGAGGGTTTAGTGGCATCACTGCACGTGCACCACGGCGTGGGTGATGACCTGAGTGTGTGCATCATCGCAGCGGCCTGCTCTGACGCAAACGTAGCGCCACGAACCGTGTTCCGTGTGTGTCGTTACGTAAACACACCACGGAGGTGTTGAGCCATGCGACGCAGGTGAACAAGCATCGTCACCGCGGGAAATTGCTCGTCGATGAGTGAGATGCCAAGGCTGAGCCTTGATATTGCTTATTTTACGTCAGCGGGAGTGCTAGGCGTGAGTTGGTGTGCCACATACAGAGAGGCGAGCAAAGCATATGCTTGGGAAACTGTCATACGCAGGCAGCAATTCGTAGCCGTCTGATGTCACTTGTACCGCAAAGCTGCACACGAAGACATTCGTACAACCTCGTCTCTATTCATGGCCGGTGCTAGCGGCTGCTTGGGATGGGCTCTGCACCACCAGATGTTACTCTGGCCCAGCCAAATTCACTCTGCTTAGCGGTGAATCACTGTTACGGTGGCCCCCCACACCGCAGTTGTACTGCCCCCCTCCCCATTCCAGAGCAGCTGGAGCCACGCCTGTATCTTATCCACACCCGTGGAAAATCCAAGAGACTTCCTCGTGTTCGATGCCCCTCCATTCACAAATTCATCGTTGTGTGACTAGTTGCTGTTGATGATTAAAACGTGTCTGTCGAGGCAGACTGATGATCACTATGATCTCCTCGCTGAAGTCAAAAGTTGTTACGTAAGGAGCTGCTGTGCCCCAACCTGATGTGACGAGAAGTCGGAACTATAACTTAAAAATGAATCAAAATCCCCCTGTTTTTGTTCGAATGAGTAACTTACCGTTGTCCAAAACGTAATTGTTTTTTCTTCAATGGCCACTACTGGCGCCGTGGGCTGGATTTAATCGATGGTCTTTATACATTTGAATCTGTCAAATCTACTTTCAGAATTCTGTAGATTTAAAGTAAATTCATTTGAATAAACAAGTGATTTGGAAACTTGGTAATTGGCACACGTACAAGTGCAATTTAGAAAATAACTATACTTTGAGATATTTTTTTTTCTTCAGCATTCCAAGTTTTGTATGTTAAACATCTTTCAGACCGCACGTAGCCAACCGTTGCCAATCGGAGGTGTGGGAGGTTTTGTGATTGCCTCGTGAATAATCCACCCGGTCGCACTCACCCGTGGCTCTGTTTTGTCTCCCCACATGCAATGACAGAGAGAAAACCAGAAGTTTTCCATCCAGGCCTTGGCCAGGTTCGACGTGATGCAGGTGCCCTACCGAATAAAGCCCTCAGAGTACCCCAGCGGCAGCGTGGTGGTAAGCAGCTCCTCACCACTCTCCTTCCCATGAGTGAGCCACGGAACCGCGCGAGCACGGGCCTCGCGTTGTGCTGTCCGCACCGCTCGCTTTCAAGTTTCTCGTCAACTCAATGGAATTGGCTGGAGTTTTGGGGCAGGAGCACAAATCTTCAGGGTTCCGATATTGGTTTGTGGGCTGGCCAGAATTTCGGTTCCAACAGCACTAAGGGGTGTACGAGTGTGTATTATGTTTAAACACTCATAAATTGGCTGAAAACACCTTCATATAGAGAATAGCAGAGCTTGGGCAGTTGCTGGCGCAATCACTGGTGTGTAAACTTTTATGAATATATTCATCAGATTTGTTTCGCTCCAATATTCCCTTCTCACATGTTAAATCAGTGAAAAGTGTTATTCCACTAAAGTTTCATATTGCCTCACAATAAAGGTTTTATCGGGGTTATTATTCTGCTATGTTGAGGCTATTGTGTCAAAACTTCTGCTTCGAGGCGCCCGTGTTGTTTTTATCAAGAGCGGTGGTTTTAAGGGACAGTGATTTGATTTGGCGGCAGTCCTTCCACATGCAATGCCAAAGACGCCTTCTTATTCTTAGGTTTTTTCGGTAAAGTCACGTAGGTAAAACATCAAAATTATTTTATCTTATTATATTATATTATTTTATTTTTATTAATTTTGATTTTTACCTACGTGACTTTACCGAAAAAAACCTAAGAATATGAATCCTTGCAGTCACGAAAGCTTCAAGTCTGGAATAGACGCCTTCTTGGCATCCGATGGTTCGACTTCGTCAGAAATTTCACCGTTCCATCTGCGACCGGTCTCCTAGTGATTGAGAGCTTAGTTCGAGGGAGAAGACGGCTGTCACTTTCTGGACACGTCGCCGCGTCTTGATGCGCAAACTCCTGCAGCAAATTGCGCACTTTAGTTGGCGGTCAACGTTTGAAGTGGACTGCGACCCCCTGTAAAGGAATGGCTCCCACCCGTGACACGTGGATCAAACAATTCACTCGAGACGCCGGTGTATGGCAACAAAAAGCAGTTTGAGCGAATGCTGTCGCAAGAGGTCACACGTGTGGCACAGCGGTCACCCACTGACTGTGCGTGACGAATGAATGATTGTGCACTGCAGGTACAGAGCAAGGTGCTGTGGGCCCGCTCTGACTCGAGCCTGCCGCTGCCCTTCTGGGCCGTGCTGCTCGCCGTCTTCTCGGGGCTGCTGCTGCTCTCCCTGCTCGTCTTCGCCATGTGGATGGTGAGCACTAAGACAAAGGTCACCCGGAGAGCCTCAACAGACTGTTGGGGCAAGTTCTGTTAGTGAGCACGGCACACGAGGGGGTGGGTGGCCAACGCCATGCCCGGCCGCCTTTGTCTCCCAAGTGGCGACATTTAAGGCCTAGTCGACCTAGGGGAGGCCCAGGACCGATTCAGATAAACGTCCCTAGTGTTGGCCGTGAGCAGGAATCGCAACTCGGGTCGCTAACCGCGACCCTAGCGTCTATAACCGCGACCCTACTGCTGGTGCACGCACGCACAGCGGCCAGCCGGCGCTCGGCAAACCAACCGGAGCTCCTGCAGGGAAGGGGCCAACGTCGACGGCGCTTCCCTTTCTCTGCTCCAGTCGCCCAGGAATCGATGCGGTCGGTTCGCTCGTCTGCCGCAGGTTAATCGCATGTTACGAGCGTCAATCGAGATCGGCGCTTCAATCGGGCCTTTTACACGGAGAGAAAGCAAAGTCCGATGAGGGCTGCTGTCACAGCCAAAGTACCTGACCCCCGTGGCGAACGTCCGTTGCAATTGGAAATCCACCTCGGCGAGTTGAATATTGAGATGCCTTTGACGCTGGCAAACGCCGACTGTCAGGACTGTGGACCGTCCGTGTGCGTGGGGATTTCGACCTCAATTTGGAATTTCATATGAAAAGGGAGCAGAGGCCTCCCTTAGCAATGACCAGTCGGAATCACAGCAGCAGCAGCAGTCCATCATTCATAGCTGGAAGTAAATTGCAGTAACTTATAATTGATATCCAGTATGTTTAACAGTGAATGAACAAGAATTTCATCAAATTAAGCCATATTAATAAACAGATGCAATTTCAAATCAACAGTTTGTGTATTAACCTGGTGAAGTTGTAAAAAAAGTACAGTGTTTCTGAAAATATTGGGTTAGAAAAAAATGTGACTAAATATTAACGTAATGAATAATGTGGAAACTGTTAGGATCTAATGGTAGCTCTCTCATTTAGTGTTGCATTCCCTTATTTTTACAAAGCATGTATGTTAAACTATGGATAGCTGCATGTCCCCTCCCGCCCGCTCCGCTCTCAATCTCTCCCACTACTCATCACCGCTCTAAACCTCTCACCCTTTCTACTCCTTTTCCCGACTTACCCCCTTGCACTGCAACAGACTTCCCCTTCCACATTAAGCGAGCAGCACCCTCCCTGTCTTCATTTCCCCTTCTCCCTCGCGACCCCCACCTCTTCTCCCTGGCCCCATCCCTTCCTCCATCCCTAGGTTACCCACCGTAATTCCCGTACCCACTAAACCTCCCTCTGCGTACCCCAATCCCTGTTCACCGTATCACTTTTAGCTACCCTCATTGTACCACTCAACCCTTGTAGAGCACCTGGGATAAAGGCGCTATGCAAATATATGATAAGATATGATAATAAAAATGTATGTACATATACACCGATTGCTGTGCAGTGCATCGATGCATGTGCATCATGCAGCACACTGCGGTGTGTTGCTGCGACAATCGGTCCGCGTAATGTACCGCAGAACTGTCGCGGTGTCGTGTATGCTGTGTGTAACGTACGGCAGTGTTTTGCTCATCTTCGCTTGTATTTGTGACTTGTGAGGCAGAGATTGTGGCGTTTGTTGCGGAGTTTACATGCTGGCCGCTTCTTGAACACGGGACCTCATTCCTAATTTTTGACAAAACCTTCGCAAAGTCGAATGTTGGTTGTTTATCGAGACACTGTTTTGAGGCCGATTTCATTTAACATTGGCCTCTAAGGTCACGGTGCTACGAGGAGTCCAATCACAGATCTGTGATCAAAACTTGTATTGCCCATGAGAACTCACACACTTGGGGAAAGTGAGAGTTTTGAAAGATGGGAAAAAAATTATAATAACAATAACACTTCCTCTTCCATACACGTAAGGTCTTCCAACGATTTGGGAACCAGTTATTGCCACATACTCCCAAAATAGAAAGTACTCAATACACAGACTGCCTCATGTAATGACTATACTGCGTTATACATTCCGGTGTTTATGTCTCCCCATCTTGGCCCACAAGGTGGGCTTTTTCCACCGCAAGAGGCCCCCACAGAAGGACGAAACCAACCAGCAGACCCAGGCAGCCCCAGCGTCCAACGGCCACGAGGCGTGACCCAGCAGCCTCACTGGAGCCAAGCTGTTGCCGTGCGCCTCTCGGCTCCCCGCTCCGCCGAACTTGGACACTGTGTGGCACGAGGCGCCTTGGGGGAATAGGGACATTGCCAGCGCTGGAACTGACCGAGCAAGATCTTCCACCTGACAAACATCACGCGGCGGATGAAGGAGGAAGACTGCCACGTGGTTCTCGTTTCTCTCCTGGAAGGTGCCCAATCGGCTGGGTGCGGCTGAAAGTCGGCGGTGAAGATGGGCGGGACACCCGGTTCAAGCCGTCCAGAGCCACTGCCGCTGCGAAGTTACTCTTTGGCCAAATCACATTATACCTCCTGGAATGCCATTCGCACTCACTCACGGTTTACATATCAGCTACTGAAATGCATCAATTGATTTTAGGCAACATTTCGTTGTTTTGTTACATTCAAGTAAATTGTGTTACACGCTTACGGCGTGAATGGGAAAATTAGCAAGGAGCAACGGTTAACATAGTGAACTTTGGTTTTGACATGAGACTCACCCGTTCTAGCATATATCAGCATCTTTATACATTTTGGTGTTTAGATGCTGGAAAATTTTCTGATACTTTTTTATTTATCCCAAAGGTGTTATACATATTATAGCAAAATAACAACCTATGTATGGCATTTAAACACAAACCAAATAGCACCGCCTGCGTCATTAGCACTGTGTTATAGCAGAAATGTAACATTGATAATTGTTTTTTTATCCTTTTATCTGGCAACAAAACTGACACCTTTTTTTACAAGGAGTCATGTTTGCATTGACCACAATACCTGCGGTCGGAATGCAAACAAAAAACAACTCTGAAAATGTATGTACTGTCCTTGAAATTGATTGGTCCACACCCGAAACAGCTTTTCTTAGAGCCCAGTCTCACATGGAGTTGGACCAGATGACGCCAAGAGGCGCACAACTCAAAGACAATGCAACATCAGAGTTAGGCCAACGTCTTGTAAGATGGTCATATGGATAATTTGCTCACAACGCTTGTATATTGTTCTGATGTGGTACAGTTCGTTATAAGGGTGGACAAGTTTTTGTTTGGCTTGTGCCTGTGCCCCACTGCTAATGCAGCCCCTTCACGTTGTACGATGAGAAGTTTGTGCAAGAAATGCACGAATGCAATTCCACTAACCCTGGAAGTGCTGAGAAAAAAAACAATTTTTATGAAGACTAACGTGATGTATTTCGGTTGTGCTGTATATACCATTGTGAATATGAAACTACGCGTTATAAAGTGAAATATTATTTTGGCCCGCTTACATATGGTGCTATTGAGATTTCATCCATGCAGCAGGGCGCAGCTGTGCCATTGGGTACATAACTTGGCTGATCCCTCAAGTCACGAGCACAACATTCTATCCCACGTGTTCCATGTTTTAATACTCGTGCAGCAATGAACAAATTACGTTTCCCAACAGTGCAGTGTTTGCAGAAATGTCCAGAATGTATGGTCAAGCGTGCACACGTCTTTTTTTTTACGTATGCACACTTTGCTTTATTGTGAATTTCCAACTTGTGACCGAGCAAAATGTAAATATGGCGAGGCTGACGAACTCGAAACGTCTGTACCTCCAGGTTATTACTCTCTTCTGGGTTATTGGGTGCATTTCCATGAAGGTGCTCTTTTTGAGCATCAACTCCATTGCAAAACACTTCCCTTCTGTACATTGACACTTGTAAATATATTTTACCGACACCTCGTTAAAGAATGAACAAAAAGATTAATATTTCACGGCCCTCTTTTTTTTTAATCATTCAGCTGGTGTTGTCAACATCCGATTATCGGGTTAGGCAAATGGGTAAGCAAAGCCTCGTGTTCTCAAGCTGCCACACACCCCAATGAACCATTACCTCGAGCACCGCAGCACAGCAGCTATTTCATAAACGTACCCAGGAAGAAGCCGCCTTACATCGCCTTGAACGTGTTAACAAAGTTAATATGGCGATAGGGAAATACAATATTACTATTGTGGCCATGAACACGAAATTCCTATACTGTACACCACTTTCATCTCTCATCCCTTCGCGCTCAGAATCATGTTTCAAATATTTGCACAAGTCGACGATACTACAGTCAAACTCGTATTTGCTCATTTTTGTTTGTAAGTTGATTGTGGCTCCTTAAAGAATTTGAATTCTCAATAGGGAAACATCAGCTTAGGCCAAAGCCCGCCTTGAGGAACTATCCCAGTGGAGGCGGTCAATTGCAGGGTAGCTGCGCCTTTACCCTTTCCCTAACACATTTGTCCAGCAAAATTATGGGCACCGCGTGTCTTCAGGGTCTCACGCTTTGGTCGGCATCGACTCTCTTGTCCATTCGGCTTGATCCGACACCATACCGCGTCAACCAGCCCATACGGTCTACCCGTATCCTTGTACATGCAAATTTTGTTTTCAGGTCCAGACATTTCAATACGGGCAAATATTTTTCGTCTTTTTGTTGATGTCTCTCCCTGATAAGGGGTTAACAGGTCTTGCGACACAAGCCCCCTTTCTTCCCACGATGGATATGACGACTGTATTCGGTGGAGGCATGTTTCTGTGGGCAGTCACTTTGAGTCTTGTTCTTCTATTTACTGCAAAACTCAGTATGAATGATATACGATACAATAATGCTTTCGATAGTTCACGTGAAGTGCGTTGCTTAGGATTATTTCTAATATACAGCACAGGCTAGAATCCCTCTGATTTACAGCCATCTAAGGTGAGAAGCGTATTGCTGCTCTAAGGAGTAGCACCAATTAGCGTTGTTGAGAATTAAATTAAATAAATCAGCAGAATATACGCCTGCATATCTCTGTAAAAAATGAAAGTGTTTTGTACCCATACCATCAACTTACACGACCTTCTTTCTGGGAGTGCATAAGTTCAGCAGCATTGCTCCAGCACAAGCAAACTCTGGACATGTCTGAATAAACTTGTAAGAAATGCTTCACGTTATCTGGAGATGGATCTTTCCTGTGTCCTGAGCCACGTTTATTGGTGTCTGTTTAGAATCCTGTCTCGGCTCAATTAGTGCAAAAAGATGCATGCACGGTGGAGCGATGGCACACTGAACATGGTGACATAAGGAACATTCTCAACCACGGTTAAGATTGACCTTGCAAAAACAATCAAAAGTTAAACTAAACTATTTTTTGTTACCGCAAGGCCCACTGAGTTATGTAGCTCTTTTTTAAAGCGATCTGGCCACAAACGATAGCTCAACGAAGTGGCTTATGTGAAAATTGATATCAGCCAAATACTCTAAACGCATGTTTCTAAATGTGGAGGTAAAAACCGGAGGACCCGGAGAAAAGTCAATGCGATCACGGGGAGAACATACTCCAAATATACAGCAGGCGTCAGGGTCGGGATCGAGATCGAACCCACGACCTCCTGCATGCCGGGCGAGGCAGTTAACATCTCGCCACCGTGGCGCCCATAACTGAAATGTCACCACCAACACGAGGCTGCATTTGTCAGATACATTGTGAGTTCAGATTATTTATAGAGAAAATATATACTCTAAATTGTAAGGGGCCGTCCATAAATGACGTCACGCACCTCGGGGGGGGTCAGACATTTGTGACGAGGGGGGGGGGTGAGAAATGTGACGTCACATCAAAATGCGCAACTTTAAATAAATATAGACAACACGTTCTACTTAATTTAATAGACTTTTTAATAAATGTTTCTCCTACAACATCAGAGTGCAGCGGCACATTGAATACGCACTACAATGACAACAGTTTAAAGCGATTTGAAGCATGTTTTATTATTATTTTTGGGGAGGAGGGCAGAGCTTTGTGACGTCATATTTGAGGGGGGGTCTGACTTTTTGTGACGCCGTGTGACGATGGGGGTGGGGGGGTCAAAAATCGTCCAAAATCGCGTGACGTCATTTATGGACGGCCCCTAAGTTTTGGACAACCAGACTGACATGTTAAGCCCAACATAGATCTCTCAAGTTCAAATCTGAATCTCAGAGGTGGATTTGGACGAAGATGATTCTTGCCTCTCAGATGTAATACTGTTACAGCGAAGGGAAAGTCAACACACACTTGGAACCGTTTACGTATCCAGGCCTACCCAAACGTCTTGTCAAGCTTCATTTGGCCTCGCCAGGAACTGATGCTTGGCACATGCCACCAGCACCGCTACGCGGGGGCGACCGTGCACCCACTGGGTGTCCTCGTGTGGCAGAAACCACTCACTGGCCTACTCGCTGCTTTCCACAAGATAAGCATCGCTCATAATTTGTGTTCATGAAATTTGATACATTTGTTTTCGGGTTGTTAAAACAGGCTTTAAAAAATATATAGACTGCATAACGGTAATTGCATGATTTTTTTGTTGTTGAACGGACCGTTGCTTTCTCACACACAAACACGTGCCGAGCAAATGAAACAGTCGTGGGACGTCGCGATCTGTTAACCGCTTGGGTGCAATGAATGGCCGAGCAGCTCAACAACAACATCGGACTCGACATTCACAGCACGCGGCACGTGGCGGGCTCGTGGAGACCCCCCCACACCACCTCGCCCCTCCCCCACCCCCTCGCCCCTCCCCCACCCACTCGCCCCTCCCCCACCCTCTTGCCCCTCCCACACCCCTCCCCCACCCCCTCGCCCCTCCCCCACCCCTCGCCCCTCCCCCCCGTGGCGCGCGGCGTGAAACTTCGCTCCACGTCGCTTGCCTCGCCACCACCACCACTGCCGCCACCACCACCACCGCCGCTGTTGTTGTTGCTGTTGCTGCTCTTGCGCCGACAGCAGAGCGGGGCAGCAGCAGCTCTCGTCTCGGCGACCCGCCAACGGGGGCAGGCTGGGGGAGGCCGGGCAGCAGGCAGCCGAGACTCTCGCACGGGCACGAGACTCTTTTCTGCACCCAGGGCGGTGAGTCGGCAACCCCCGCTGCCCCCCCGTGCTGCCCCCCCCCCCGTGCTGCCCCCCCCCCCGTGCTGCCCCCCCCCCGTGCTGCCCCCCCCCCGTGCTGCCCCCCCCCCGTGCTGCCCCCCCCCGTGCTGCCCCCCCCCCGTGCTGCCCCCCCCCGTGCTGCCCCCCCCCCGTGCTGCCCCCCCCCCGTGCTGCCCCCCCCCGTGCTGCCCCCCCCCCCCGTGCTGCCCCCCCCCCGTGCTGCCCCTCCCCCGTGCTGCCCCCCCCCCGTGCTGCCCCCCCCCCGTGCTGCCCCCCCCCCCGTGCTGCCCCCCCCCCCCGTGCTGCCCCCCCCCCCGTGCTGCCCCCCCCCGTGCTGCCCTCGCTGCTGCCCCCACTGCTCACGGAACGACTTTGCGCTTCGACAAGAGGGTTGGAGGGCGGGGGCCAGGATTTATGGGCTGTGAGTGTGGAAGGGAGGCAGCCCTCGAAGTGCACCTAGCCTGGCACAAGCACCGTGCCGACGTCACAGCCACTTGTTTCATGTTGTGGGGGCTGAAGGTCGTTTGGCAGGGAGAGGGTGGAGGGGCGGGGTGCGGGTGGAGGGGCGGGGTGCGGGTGGAGGGGCGGGGTGAGGGTGGAGGGGCGGGGTGCGGGTGGAGACTGACCACGTGGCGAGGCTCCCTCCGCCACGTGCGAGCCGCGTGGGGGGTCAGCAGGGAGCCCGGGCCACGAGGCGCCCAGCGGGCACCCCTCAGAGCCCCGCCCCCCTCAGAGCCCGGCACCCCCCCCCCCCATCAGAACCCCCCCCCCCCCATCAGAACCCCACGGCCCCCCTCCCCCTCGGGGCCCTGTGGGCCCCCCCAGAGCCCCGCGGGCCCCCCGTGCAGAGGGCCACAGGTCACGCCGCTCAGCCGCGCACGGCAGAATATTTGTAGTGGAGGAATCCGATGAGCTATGAAGCGCTTTATTTGTACAGATGTCAAGTAGGACCGAGTCAGAACGTTACAACAACAAACAATGCAAAAACAAATACGACAGGAGTGCAAAGTATAGTAAAGGTATACATCATTTCAAAACATTCAAATGAAACTAAACCATTTTTGTTACATTTTTCCAGGTAAAGCCCACTGAGCTCTTCACTTGTTTTGCAGAAGCGAACCATCTCTATCACACATGACGATAGGACATTTATAGCAGCCAAGTAATCTAAGCGATTGGGGATGTTCTAAATGGGGAGCGGAAAACCGAAAGACCCAGAGAAATAAGTAATGTTTAAACATTTGTTTTTAAACACACTTTTATGAAATGTACCGTCATAGAGCTCCAGGAAGTGGCCCCGAAGCTTGCCATAACGTAAGGGAGCGTGAGCAATTACAGCCAACGTCAGTTGAGCGTGGACAATTAGACCCAAGCCGAAACATAACATCTAAAAAAGAATGTTTAAAAATAAAGCTGTTTTATGATAGAATATAGTATTGTCATGAGTATGACATAAGTATACCAAGTTTGCAGTCGATACCACATTGGGAAGTGGGTTAAAATGTAGGTACAAGATTTGAGGATATAACAACGACAGAGTTAAATAAAAGCGTGAAATAAAACAATCCACGCGACCACGGGGCGACCATGCGAGAGGCAGTCTGCAATGTTCACGAGGTCGAATCACTTTGCAGACCTCAACAGTTTTTTTTATCTTACGGATGCTGCTTCACAACATTAAGATACAATATTTAGTACGATTCAAATCTCGACTTCAAGCTTTCGTGACTGCAGGAATTCATATTATTTGGGTCTTTCGGTAAAGTCACGGAGATGGTTCAAAGAAAATAACAAACTCCGACGACCGAAACGTCGTAGTTTTATATCTTTGAACCATCTATGTGACTTTACCGAAAGACCCAAATCATATTTAGTACCATTCATGACCCATTTGTGGGTTAGGCCAGGTATATATGATTTGGTCATATCATGAATCGGTCGATACTGCTTGTGGAAACCTACGTGCGCGGTTAAATCCATCACGTGTTATACCGTAAAAGTTACAGCTCAAACGGGCCACATGACAAATGACGGGCGATACCAGAGGACTGCTTTCACGGGCCGCTAATCTGTCAACCCGGGAGCCCTATTTACGTTAAACCTCAGCGCCTGTGCCACCATACTGATCCCATAAACATGACATTGTAAACGCGGGGCACTGTATACGATTATAAAGATCTCTGCCAGGCAAAGCCGCGGTGTTTACCGCCAGCTCTCGGTGCTCTATGGCAACAGTCACTGGAAGTCCGGGGAGGTCAGGCAGGGTCAGCCAGGGTCAGGCAGGGTCAGCCAGGTTCCCGGCTAGCAGGCCCCAAATTCCGCTGCCCTGCCAAAGGAAATCCGCGGCCCCACTGAGTGGCCAAAGCCCTCACGCCCAGTGCCCCCCACACTCCGCACGCGATTTCACTGCCACCAACCTTCGTTTGCTGCACTTTCACATCCAGGTGGTCAAGCCAGACACAGCGGCGTCAGGAGCAGCAGCGGGAGGTCAATCGCTGCGATGTGTCCTTCGTGTCGGTGGGATATTTATGGCAGTATCAAAACATACCTTTTGATGCCTTGAAAAGTGTATCATCTATTTGGTGTTTTGACACCTATTTTATTTGCCAGAAAGGGTTCAAAATTATTCTTATCGTCTCCTTCGCATTTGTGGATCGGAGCATTGCGTCGTTATATGTTGTAGGGTCTTTTCTGGATGACCACAGTCGCACACTACTGCAGTTTGTTTTTAATGTTCCATTTGTGCATCAGGTATCCGCATCTCCTGCCATGGTCTGTGCAGTGGATGCAGTTTGCGGTGCACCATGCGCTTCGTTTAAGATCAAACCCAGGGATACCACTAAAGACAAAGACCCCCCGTATAGCCTTAATACACCTTTGAGGCAAGTGCTGTTAGCGAGCAGCACCTATGAAGGCCAGCACGACACGCGAGGAGGTGGGTGAACGGCACCATGCCTGGCCACTCTTGACTCCCCAGTGGCGATGTTTACACACTGCACCAGATACTTGAGTAATTTGAGGCTAAGTCGACT